CAACCCTCTGGCCAACTCTGGCTGGTTTGAGAAGACTCTGGAAAGGGATTTCCTTTCTACTTTTCATCCATTTAACGGATTTCGGCCTGCAGAAAGAGGCACAGTCTATCTCGCCCAGCTGCCCATGTTTTCCAGTGTGTGGTGGTAACACCACACTCCACTCCCATGTCTTCTTGGGGCACCTGCAGTCAGGGTGCAGGTCCCCAGACTCTCTCTAGTGTGTCATAACTTTGTCTCCTCTTTCCACCCCTGTGTACTGAGCACCAGGGCCAGGGGCCAGGGCCAGGGGAGGAGGGGAGTAGGTTAGTCCGTGGACCTCACACTGACCCTCCTCAGGCTCAGTCCTCCACCTGGACCTTTGTGCACGTGCAGATTCAGAAGAAAGCCTGTGATCCAGCCACACTCTCTGCTCTCGTGCACCATTCCAGAGTGCTTGCTTCGTACAATGAAACGGATCCTTGTTTGTCATGCAGCTACCCGTTCTCTGCATGCACATCGGCCTGAAGGTAACAGCGGTGACCCGTCGGAGACCTCCAGAGAAATGGTGGTCAGCAGAAGTCAGGGACCTCGATTTCTCGTGTAGGCGTCCCTGCTAAACAGCCCTTAGTCAGAAGCAGCTGCAGCATTCACGGTGCCCATTAAGAAATGAAAAGGTGGGATCCTTGTTCAAAATGCAGGCAAAGATACCCTCAAAGGCCCTAAAACAGAAAGCGTTTTCCTTTCCTCCGTGGTCTCTGTCCCTTGACTCATCATGCCGTCTTTTAGCAGCTCCTTAGCATTGCGCTGCATAAAGAAACATGCCAACATGTCATGGAAATTAATGAGCAGGCCTCTCTGACTCTCTCTGGGATGGTGTGGGAACATTGGCAAGACTTCTGCTCACACCAGGGCCTCATTGTCCCACCAGACTTACCTTATAAGACACTCGTTCAAAGACACAATTATTAAAAAGTACAAAATAGTGGCAGAAGAATATGACACCCATCACAGTCCCTTTTGCTTGTAGCTCCTTCTGTGACAGCACGGGTCACCCGTCCACGAAGCTGGCCTAGCCTTAGCGAAGAAGGTCCGGATGTGTTGGGACAATTATGAAAGAGAATCCAATTATGAGAGAGAATCCGTTCGTTGGAGGGGAGAGGGGAGAGGTCGGTGGGTTTCCAAATCAACAGAACCAGGAGCAGACATGGACACGATTTGCTACTTTCACCACACTTTTAGGTTTCAGCTGCCCTTGGGAATTCTGGGAGCTTGGTCCCAGGACCACAGGAGCCATACTTACCTCCAGGGCTTCTGGGAAGGAAACATTGCGTCAGAATGGAGAAGCCTTTCTGTGGGGCAGGTTGACTTTCCACCCCGCTCCTTCTAGTTTGTCTTTGTCTAAGAACTTTTGCTTGAGCTGGCTTTTGAAGCAAACATTTAGACAAAGCATAGAACTGTACTCACCTTTCCTTCCTGAGTTACCCTGGCTCAAAGGCTTGTCCGTGACTGAACCTTGGGTGAGAGAGGAAAAACAACAACACGGGCATTCAGAGTGCTTCGGGGCTGATTTCTTTCAAAGAGTTGACACAGCCTGATGTTATGAGCATGTGGTGATGTGTATATATGCATTGTATACACACCCAGGGACATTATATACAGTTGGTCCATGCATGCTTGTAGAGTGGGGTTTGCTCAACATCAATGTCACTGACACCCCAGCACGGTTGCAGGAAACCATAGTTTCCAGGAAATGGTCTTGACCAATCCAATGTTTTTTTAAACAAAATTCTGTGCTATAATAGCTGCCCCACACCTTCCCTCCCCCATCTTTCCCACTTCCCACCATCTCTCTGTCGGGAGCCATATTCCAGCGGGCAAGGCCAGCTGAGCAGAAACCACTTCTTGCTGCAAACACAATGATTGACAGCTCTCGCTGGTGAGGACAGGAAATCGGCGATTTTCCATCTGCATTAAGTAGAAAATCGCTGGCCCGATTGTACTGAATGGGCCAAAGTCCTGTGAGGCATGGAAACAATTTTCTAGGCACAGCGTGTTCCTCATGGATTGGGTATCATGTGCGTTTGACCAAACAGTCTGCTCTGCACATGCAGATGCCATGGGCACGCCATCCTGTGGTCCTGACCCTGCAGCCTCTGTGTTCTCCCTGAAGCCCACCCGCCAGGGGTTCATCTGTGCAGCTCCCCGCAACCAAAGAAAGAGTGCCTATTCCCCTCTTCCATATCAAGCTCATCTACATATATGTTTTTAAGAATTCAAGGACATCCCGAGTATGTGACTTCTCTCTAATGTGTCTGTTTCCTCTAAATGAAGCTTTTCAGATCATTTGCAAAGAGGGCTAATTCCTCCTCCTCCTCCTCCTCTCCACCCCAACCTCCATTAATGTTTCCAGTTTTCATGTAGACTGCAAATAAAATAAACTTTCCCTTTGGGCCTATGACTCTTGGTTTCCTAACGAGATACGTATTGCCCTCTCTGTTCACTTCTCCTTCTATATGCTGCACCGCCGTAGGAAAATGGACATGTTCGTGTAAAGAAGAAAAGGAGAGAAAGGGTTAGGATTTTGAATTCCTTATAAGCTTTATACACAATGTTTTATGCTTTGCACTTAAAAATAAAAACGGAGTAAGTAGATAAAAATTCAAACACACCAATATGGAGAAATGTGAAGTAGTAATTGATGGGTGGGATAGTCCCTTTGGGGATGAGGGCAGGGCCACAAGGTAAACTAAGGCAGTTACTAATGAGTTCCTTAGCTTCTGAGTGGAAGGGGAAAGTGTGGTGTCCATAATTCATAATTCCATAAAAGTGACCCACGAGCATGACTTCTCTGTGCTCGTAAAGTTGGTAATAGAAACGAGTGCATTTTTACTGGTAACCAGCCACAGGGGCTACCGCAAGCAGTGGTTTCTTGACTTGTTTAACAATCAGAACCACTTTTATTAAAGAAAAAAAAAGGGGGGTCTTCAGGTCTGGTGCCAGACCTACTAGATCAGAATACAGAAAGGGGGAGTAGGGAGCCTCAATATTTAGGCTCTTTCTCATTCCCCAGGGACTGCTAATGATCAGCCATATGTAAGGGCCATTTGATAAAATATTTCCATTACTTTATACTATGTTGCTCAGGAATGGCAAATGCATGGCACACAGGTCACCACTCTCCTATGCTGTGGCCATACCAAGCATTACTAATTGATCATGACCATCTTTGCTAGCGAACTCCAATGTATTCTTGAAACCTCTCTCAATAAAAATACCCTGAAAGCCTTAGCAGCCAGAGTTAGCCCACCAGCTAAAACTCTATATGCCATCCCTGCTCTTGCAGGAGGAGCACCATCGCTTGGGGAACTGCACTCATACACAAATAGGCATATCTTGATTCTCTTCTCCCAACCAATTGCAGAGCAAATGTGCCTGAGTGGAATCCTCCTTGACCTGGGAAAGAGCTCACAACCCCCACCAAACACTAAAGGCCCCTACCACCCAGATAAGAAGCAAGAGACCATGCAAGGGTCCCTTATCAATACTTTTCATTCTTCCAGCCCTTTTCCACAGTACCTGAACACACAGGAGTCTTGTTCTGCACAGAAGAGCCACTGATTGGTTTCCCATCAGGGGTGACACACCAGCAGTACCCCGTGTAAGTATGGCACTGCACCTGTTCAGGGGATCAGGAAAGGGAAGAGAATCCTAAGTGTTGGGTCATGATATTAAGAGCCATCTCCCACCCATTTCAAAGGATCACCAATATATTAGAAGACCCCCTGCCACCTCTCACCCCAACATCTGACTCCATCTCACCCCAACATCTGCCTCCAGAGGACCTCCTGGAGAGGGGCCAGTCGACACAGGCTATTTGTTTGCTAGGAAACACCTATAAATAACCACACACATTTGTCTGCTTCTTTCCTGAGACTCATAACAAATAATACCTGGTATATGATTGTGGTAGTTATATAATCTGTTGTCAAATTGTGAGTATTAGAGCGAAGGGGTGGGGTTTAGCCTGTCAATCAGGTCACAGCTTGATGACCTCATTTGGAGGTGCTAAGGAGATAAATAGTTCACTGAAGGCCAGACACAGACTCACTCCCTTGGAGACGCTCTACTAACAAGGTTCACTCCCTGCGAGGCATTTACTGAAGAGGAGCCAGATGGAGTTAACTGATGCAGCCAGAGCCCTGGGGGCTGGAGGCGCCATGTGGAGACCCCTGCCCGCATTGAGATGCTTCTACCACTTTCCACCCATGGGCCTGTGATCTTCCTGCATTCGGCGTCATTGCATGTGTTTAGTGAGTCTGAAAAGGACTTTATAGATTGGTATAGGACATATGGGCTAATATTGGACTTATGGACTTTATCTGGATTGGGCTGGGATAGGTTCTCAATATTCAATTGCTATTGTATATAAAGCTCTTTCTTATACATATGAGTGTCTATGAATTTGTTTCTCTAGTCTACCTAGACTAACACAATGATGTACAGATGTCCACTGTGTGTTTGTTCTGTGATAATTCTCACCCATGCCAGTACATTATCCCCACCCCCATCCCCACCCCCCAGTACGGCCCTTTATCCACTGTAGAACGTTCTGATCAGCTACCTAATTTGGTGAGTACAAATTGTCATGTCACATTGCTGGTGGATATGACCTTGTCACATAGGACGATAATAACATCAATGATTTTTTTCTAACAAGTAGAGAAAAATGGTCCAGCTTTTCTTTGTTACTAGATTTCTCCAGCATTCTTTCATATCATCAGGTGGCCTTTTGATCTCCTGGCTCTCCTGAGACAAGGTCACCTGTGATGGGGTGAAGGCAAGGGCAAGGTCACTTGCACCTGCAGGTTCTATTTCTAGACACCTCACTGCATCACAGTGTGCTCTTCCTCAAGTCTCTGCCTCTAGGAGCACCTCCTCTGTGCCTGGGAACCTTAATAAAAATGAGACTTTTGGCATCATTCAAATGAAGTCTTCTTTCCTCTTTGAATATCTTTTACCCCCTTTTAACACCCCTCTCCATCATACTCTGCCAATCTGCCCTCTGCACTGTGAGGACATGGAGTTCCTAAGCATAAACCAGGGCATTACGTCTCTTAAAGTCCCCCAGGGATTCACCATTGGGGTTAGGAAAGAATTTGACTCATTTGCATGGTGCTTGGTGCCTCCCCTGATCTGAAGCCTGTCTACTCCCCTAGCCTCATTCTTCACCACACACACACACACACACACACACACACTTTAAAAACCCAGTTTCCATCGAGTCCACTTGAACCATGGCTGGCTAGCTGTGTCTGTTTGGGGGTAGCTGTGCTTCGTGCAGCTTTCGACGACTGATTTTCCAGAAGCAGATTACAAAGCCTTTCTGCCAAGGCACCTGTTGGGACTTGAACTGTTAGGTAGCAGAACAGGGCCCAGGGTGTCCACTGGGCATGTGCCAATTCAGGGCCCAATCCAGGAAGGGAGGACGTACACCTAGGTAGGCGGTTCACCTGGGTGTGCCCAATCTAGGCCAGGTGGGCTTAATTCAGCCAATGGAGGTCAACCAGTACCATCGACCATGCCTCCCAGCGGAAGGCCCTGAAAACCAGAACTTTGATTGAGACCACCGCCCTCTTTTTCTTACTGCTCTTCTGCCTTCCGCTGGGCCATGTTATGGTCTCTCTCTCTTTATCTCTCTCTCTCTCTC